GTATATAACTATATACATGCATATATATATACATAATTATGTTTAAAAAATAATATAAAAAAAAAATTTAATTTTATAGCGTGATAATTTTTTGAATCTCATTTTGGGTTTAGAATTTTCAAGATTAAAGAAATCCAAAATTAGTATTTCGCAGAATGTTGTCGAATTAAATAAGTTATAAAAATATTATAAATTCATTATTAAAATTGTTTTTATTTAAAATAAATTATAAATGTGTTTAATATGTCGGTTAGTTGGTTGACTTCACCACCTCCCAATTAGAATAAATGTTCCGTTTTGCTACTACAACTACTCCATAATCATCAGGCCGTCTTTGAGCGTACGATTACAGGTGGCCAATCTAAGCCTTTGTAAAATGTATTCATACTATTATTTTTGTAAATAGTTATTTACGAAAAATCGGATAAAACAGGCGACGTTTTTATATTTGGATTAAGATGTATTCATTGTTTGGTGACAGATTTAAGTTGAACTCAAAATTTTGATGTAAAACTTAATTAGTATAATGCGAAATTAAGTAGTGTTTTTCAAAATTCTCTCCTAAATTGACATTTTTAAACCAAAACATGCCAAGAAGTCAGAAAAATATCAAAAGTAGAAAAAAAATTCTAATGTTACAGGAATATGTATTTTAAAATCAGAAAATTTTTTAAATCTATTCGAAAATCCATTTCTTTTCGTTATTTTATATTGCTGGAAAGAATTTACTAAAGTAAAGTATGAAGTAAAGTATGAAGTCCAATCAGTTTGACAATTAAGTACTATTTAAATTTGTTAAAACAGTATTTTTTATTCTAGTAGCTCAGGTGTATTCAACTGCCAAACTGCCTCTGCCAAAATTACGAAATGGCAGAATTTCGCTCGCAATATTCAATAACTGTATATATTTATTTTGAAACCATTTAAATTTGTATGAGACGTTTTCTTTTCCTTATTGAATAATTAATTTAAAATATCATTAAATTAAATTCTTGTATAACTAAAATAAAAGTTTCGTAAGGAATCCATCCTTAAAAAATCTTCCACGTTTAAATCAAAATGTTATTTTTTTTCCGTAATTTTACTATTTACTGCTTACACACATAATAAATGGTTCAAGTTCAAGGTCATTATAAAAGCTCTAAATAATATTCATATACATATGTATGTACAAATTTAAGCTCGAAACTCTTTTAAAATGTGTATACTAAATATAAAGAAAAAATTAATGTTTCAATTCTAATTGTTTCACATCCTTTTTATATTCAAATTTCAAAATGTTTCATATCCTTTTTACAATTCAATATTTTGCGATTTTGCTATATTCAAATCCATGTTTAAATGGTTTGTGTCTTGAATTATTTCAATTTTAATCCTTGATAAAATATTAGACAAGAAAATATCATTTTTATATTTTTCATTTATATTTTTTAAATTTTTAAATTTTGGTTGAAGTTCAAAAAGAAAACATGTAAGCAGAGCTTGCAATCAATCAGTCTTACTGTTAACTGCTTGCAGTATCCATATGTATTGCATAGTGTATTTATAAATGCTAAAATATAGTCAAACTATTGTCTAATTTGGTTGGTATTTTCAAAATATTTGTTTTTACGATTAAATTAAATAATATTAATTACAATTACTTTTCATATCCCTCGGAGAGGTGTTTTGAAATTTCTTCATTTTTCATATTCTGGCTGTAAATATTAATTAATTATTATTTATTATTAATATAATAATTTTATTAATTCGTAATTGACAATATAATTAATTCGTAATTTTTCGCATTTCAGAGTATACGAACGAAATTCATGATTAGATTGATTATCTATTGTCAATTTTGTTCAAATTATATCCTGAATTATAACCAAAAATTAAGATTTAGGCATCCATTTTAATATTTATTACAATAATTTGTAAAATTTTATGAACTTACTTTACAAATAGTTTAGATTTTCCATTATATCACTATTAAATGCTATAACATCCATTAAAAAAAAAACACTTATTTATTAATTTGATTTTTCATTACGCCAAGGTTACGTCACACAGAATTTTCATTCGACAGATTTGACAGCTCATTCGCCAAATTTTATTCACTTCACCGATCATAATAAGGACTTTGATCGAATATTGACAAAAAAAAAATTTTAATTTTTAATATTTTCAACATTTTTTAATATTACAATAAGTAGCATAATTTTTTTAATTTTATAAATATTTAAATGAAATTAATTTTTAAGGGAATTCAGTATTATTGTCCGAATGCATTTATATATTTTTATATTTTAAATGAAAAATAAAATAGAAATAAAACACTTGTTATTTAAATTAATATATATAATTTAAATTGTATTTTAATTTTTCTCTTTCACTTTTTGATTTCATTCTTTTCATATTTTCATTATTTTTTTTTTAATATTAAACACATAATTTCCTTAAAATTAAATTGTATTTATATTTTAGTATTTAAGTGTATATTAGCATTATTATCTAATATCATTCTAAAATTTTATTTGTCTTCCTTAAAAATAAAAAGTAAATATAACGACTTAATTAATTTTCTTTATGTATTCATACTAATTTTTTAATTTTTTATACTTTATTTAACTGTTTACTCTTTTTTTTACTTTTATTTTATTAAATTCAAAATTAAATTTGTTAATTATTAATTTAAGTAATATAATAATAATTTTCTTTTCAATTTCATTTAAAAATACAATAAAAAAAAATTATATAAGAAATAATACCTAAGAAGATGAAGAAGGAATAAAAAAAAAAAAGATTAACAATCTCTTATTTTTCCGCTTCCAAATTTATTTATAATTAATTTTATATTATTCGACTTATTTCTTATTTTTATTAAGTTTTTACATTATTAGCTATTATTAAGGACAAACAAATAATTTCGATTTTTTTTTTTGAGAAAGAATTTTTATTAATTTATAAATTAGAATTAATTTTAATTAAAATTTTTGAAAAAAACATTTTATATTTTTTATCTAAACAGAATTGAATTTTAATTTAGAATGTAAAAGAAATCAAGTAAAGTAAGTTATTTAAGTGGCAACAATATTAAAATGATGAAAACGAAAAATATAATTAAAATTAAATACAAGAACGAAACAAAAATTGCTTTATTTTAATTTCAAATTTAAGAAATTTATTATAAAAATTAAGATATTAATTAAAGGCAAAGCATTATTCCGAACTAATCAACTTGAACTTTTAAATGAAATTAAATAAAATCAAATGATATATAAATAGAATAAGCAATTAAATATCTGAGAAGATATTTCGGGGGGGGGGGGGGGGTTAATACTACAACTAACGTAGATAACTCACAATTATTGGTTTAGAGATATTAAATTTTAAAGATACAATATTAAGCAATAACAAATAATTTATCATGAAGATATTTAGTTCTGGCATTATAATTTTCAGATATTTAAGAACACTTTTAAGTTTAGATATTGGTCACAGATTAAAGAGCATTCGATCTTATGACTCCTAGGTTAATTATGTAAAAAATATGAAAATTTACAAGTTATTTAGTTATAGCATTTACCACACGATTTTATATTTAATATAGCTTTAAAGGTTGGCAGTAATTAATTAATTTTTATTCGTTTATTTTTTATAAATTTATGTAATAATAAATAAATTTCGATAATATTTTCATAAAAATTTATTTACTAGGAATTATTATGGAAATTATAAAATTATAAAAGAAATTTTATTATTCAAAATAATAAAACATCATTTACTTTAAAAAATTTTAATAAAATTTTTTAATTTTACGAGAACCTTATCATGAATTCTTCTCGTAGAATTCTATAAATTACAAACTTAGCTACAATGTAGACTTTTAAATAATCACGAATTTCTTTCGTTGTAATTATAAATCAGTCATGCCAGCACAATTATTCGGAGTGTCAAAATCAGTATATTATTTTAATTGTTAAATAAATTTCTTTTAATGGCAACTGTGTCGGAAGTGCTCAAATTTAAACAAAAAAATAGAAAATTTAAAAATTTAAAACAACCACTTTCTTTAAATTGCTTATTACGTGTGATTATTTCTTTTAGTATTTCGTAGACTTTTGAGAGTTATTTTTATAACAAACGTAATTTATGATTACTCTATTGCAAATATTCGTAGTAGAATTTTAGTAATTCGGAATTAAGAATATGAAAATCTCCGAATTTCGGAACTACGAACGAAATTCATGATAGGGCTGATTGATTTTTCTTACTTGATTTTTTTTTTTTTTTATAAAATTTTCAATTAATTTTCAATTAATTGTTAATAATTGAATGAAATTTTTATTTTGTACATTATTAATTTTCAAAATTATTATTATAAATATTATATTTTGTTTTGAATTGTAATTACTTTTAATAATGAAATTATTTGAATTATCTGAATGTTGAAAACTGTTTTTTTTTTCTCGAAATTATTTGTAATAAAATAATTAACTAATTATATTTGTATAGTATAATTTTTACTTTTTTTTTTATTATGTAGAGTATTATTTTAGTACACATTTATTTTTTTATTTAAAACGAAAAAATAAAAAACTAATTACTTACAAAACAAAATTTTGTACACATTTTTATAATATATTTTTTTTTATTTTTTTAAAGTTTAATTAAATCGAACAAAGTATTTTATTACATTAAAAAACATAAACTAATAATTATATCTATAATTAATATATATTTAATTATTTTATTTAAATTTTCGATTTTATTCATTTTAATATTAAGAATTTTGAAAAACAAAATTCCATTAAACAATTTACAATTTTTTTTTTTTTATATTTTTTATTGTTTTTTTTGTTATTTTGTTGAGTTTTTACAATTCTTTAATGTACAAACCTTAAAATAAAATTAAAAATTATAAAAAAAAATTAAAAATTATAAAAAAAAATTAAAATTAAAATTATCTTATTAATATTATTCTTAAAAAAAAAAAATGTTTTACTTTACAATTTATTTTTCTTTTATTGTTTTCTCTGTTTCGCTTTTCTTTTGTGAATTTAATAAACCCTAACAATATTTAAAAATTTCTACATATTTTTATTTTTAATGCCTATTTGTAATGATAACTAAAAAATCCTAATGAGAAAGAAAACTTTATTTAACTACAATACAAAAAAAAAAAAATGGACAAATAACTAATTAATTAAAAAAAATTCTAAACAAAATAAACAAAAAAAAGAAAAAAAGCAAAACGAAATCTTAAAAATTTAAAATTTAAAATGAAAAAAAAACAAATTTTATACAACATTTTTTCGCGCACATTCTTACAAAACATTCAAAATTTCTGTCTAGAGAACTGAATTTAAAATATTTTAATTCTGACAAAAAATTATTATTTAATTAAAAAATAATTCACCCACATTCTGTTAGTCACAGGTTTTTATTCATAAATTTTAAGATTTTCAGAATAAAATCAAATTCGAAATTCTATACTGAAAAAACCGAAAATATTATTCGATAATTCGATAATATTTTCGATAATAGTTTTCTAAATACCTCAAGTGATACGACTAACAGAATATGGGTAATTTTATGGGTAATTTTTATGTTTATGTGCGTAAACATAATGATAAATATTTTTGACCAAGTTCGTTTTTCTAATTTCAGAGTATTCTTCGATACTCTGAAATTGTAATTTTGTTTTTTATTTTAATATTTGTGATTTTGACTAAAGCATTTTATTACTGCAAGAATTTTTTTTTAACGAACTGGACTAAAAATTTTAAATACTTTAATATTTTTATTTTATTTTTTTGTTTTTTTTTTTTTTGGGATTACAATACACATTTTTATTATATGAAAATATTATTTGTTTTATTCTTACATAATTTTTATATTAATTACTAATAAAAAAATTTTATAAAAATTTTTCATTTCATTTTGTTTGTCTGTTTTATAATTATAATTTTTTTTTTTTAATTCATTTCCTGTCGATTAATTAATACATTAATTATAGCTAAGGGCAGCAGAGCACAATTACTTTATATATTTTAATTATTATATTTTTTTATAATTACATTATAAATTTTTTTTTTTATTGATTTTGTATTTTTCTTGTATTTTATAAATTTTTAATATATACTTTTGCATACTTATATATATATACATAATTATAATTTTGTATAATTTTTATTATTTATTTAAAAATATCCCATTTTTTTTTTAATATATGACTTCATAAACGGTTGCTTTTTTATCACCAGAACCAGTTACAATATATTTATCATCTGCTGAAATATCACAACTTAAAACTGATGAGGATTCTTTTGATTGAAATATTGAGGCACCATATGGTGTTCGCCATGCATTCAAAAGATTATCTTTACCAGTTGAAACAAACCATTTACCACATGCAGCGAATTTAAGACTAAGTACACAACTTTCATGTAAATGTAATTGATATTTATCTGGTTTACTGGCATGTAATACTTCAACATTTGAATTTTCCATTCCAACAGCTAACCATTCACCTAAAAAATAAATAATAATAAGTAATTATAATTAAGTAAATTAATAAAATAAATAATTATATAATTAGAATTTTAAATATTAGAAAATAATTTTGAAATTAATTATTAAATTTACCTGTCGGACAATAACCAAGTGAAAATATTTGTGAACTGAAATCATGCTGTTGTAATTGTCTACCCTCTCTTAAATCCCATGATCTAACTGTATTATCTAAACCACCAGTCCATAATTTAGTACCATCAGCACTAATATCAATACAACTGGCACCATCTGTATGTCCTTGAAATTGTCTAACCAATGTTTGATTTTGTAAATCCCATACAGCTATATTACCATCTGAACAACATGAAAAACATACTTTTGAATCAGGTGATATAGCTAAAGCGTAACATGCCGGTGCACTTGATGTTAATTCAGCTTTAATACGTGGTGTTGGACTAGCAAGATCCCATATTGATAAATTAGATGCTTCACCACCAACAATTAATGTTCTACCATCAGGTAATAATTTTACAGAACGAATATAATTATCACGTTGTAAACAATCTAATTGAGAAACTGGATTTTTATTGCCTGGCTGTGAAATATCCCATGCTTTAACACATCCTTTTCCACCCGTATAAACATATTTTGTAGGATTTGATATCGTTACAGCACAAACAACTTCACCATGTGCTAAAGTATTTATTTGTCGAGCATGTCTAAAATTTAAAAAGAAAATATATCAATTTTAATAATAATTAAAATGGATCAAAAACAAAAACAAAAAAATGTAATAATTTACCTTGGGATCCCTGAACCAATTAATGCATCTGGCGGAAATGGCACCGGTTGCATATTACCGTCCGCACTTACATGAAAGGAATATGCACTATTTGAATAAAAAAAAAAATAAACATTATTTGAAAATTCCAATATCTTTTGTCTAAAAACTTACGGTTTTCCTCCGGGAATGCTACCTAAAGCTGGTCCTAATGGTGGAGCTCTCATTTGAGGATGTGGATCAAATCCGACCTGTATAGGAGCCCTTGGAAAATTATTTAAACCTGGTGGTAAATTATTATGTACACCAGCCGCTGCCGCCGCTGCTGCGGCCCCATATGCTGCTTGCAAATCATGCGGACCAGCACCATTTAACGCTCCTAAATAAGGAGGATAAGCACCTGGATTTGGGACTAATGGTTTAACTACAGCTTTCACTAAGCCACCTGGTGGTGCTCCTGGTGGTAAACCACCAGGTACAGGGCCACCTAAACCATTTGGTGGATTTGAATTTGAGTTAGGTGTGACTGATTTTGCGATAGGAGTTGAAGGTTTGTCTTCTAATTTTTTATTCGAAGGTGTTGATGCGTTCGACGATGTACCAGAACGTGGCGAATGTGGTCCAGCTCCACCACCTTGACTACCGGGTCCACTCAAATTATTCGAATTTAATCGATCACGATCTGAATGATCAAATTTTTTAACCAACATTCCATTTTCACGTGGTGATGCTGTTCCATTATGCTGATTTTGTACAGGTGACATTGGATTAATTTCAGAGGCATCATCAACAACTAAATCTTGATCAGATTTTTCACCATCAGATTGATGACCATCTTTTTCTTCTTTTTTCACTTTTTTCAATTCATGTGTTTCAGGAGATCTTGGTCTATATTTATCACGTTCAGCTGGTGAAATTGAACTTCTATGTCTTTCTTCATTAACACTCATGCCACTTGAACTTTTTGCGTCATCGGGACGATGTATTTCTTGTTTAAGCATTGGATGTCCACCAGGAGTATTTGGTAAACCTATCGGACCACCAGGTAAAGAACCTGGCATCGCACCTGGATGTGATAGTGGAAGTGGAATTGTTGGTGCTGTTGCATGACCAGGTATTGTTTGTGTATGCATCTGCTGTAACAGTCTGGGTAAATCTGGTCTTTGTTGTCCTATAATTGTATTTAATTCTGACATTGTAATTTGTTTTGCACGTTCAACTGCTGTTGCAACTTGTTGTTGATGATCTTGTGTTAAAAATGGAATGATTTGCCCAATAATTGCATTCAGACGCTTTGATATTTCAGTCTGAAATTAAAAGAATAATAATTAATTATTAATTTAAAAAATACTTTCGTATTGAAGTGTTCTTTGTCATTTTATAAATCAATAACAATTAAATAAAATTATAAACTTAAAATTTATTTTGAAATGCAACTTTAATTTTTATTTAAATCCATTAATGCACCTTCCAATTACGGTAGGATGACAAAAAACAAGAATAACAAAATAAAAATTTTTTCTGTGGTTTCATATTAGTTGGCATCAAACTGGTATTTTTGTTGCCATACCATATTACCGCAGGTTATATTTGATATGCTTCATCATCATTAGCAGAATGGTTTTTAAAATCTTTCATTTCGCCCAGTTTTGTTGGTGTCGCGAATTGGATAATAACCGAGGTATAATATTACAGCATGATATTTTTTTCACAAATAAATTTCCCTGAAATCATTCATTGTTCTGAAATGGTATGTATCATTCGCACATACTTATTAACATGTAAACGAATAACTAAAGGTACACGTAAGCATTTAATTTTGTATTTATGCACATAGGTGGATAGAATCAGAAAATAATGTTTAACAGTTAAAAAAAAAAATAATAATAATAATTACCATGGTCTACGTGCTACATAATGCAAAAACCACACATTTTTTTTTGCATGAAACCACAGAAACCAATTGTTACCACATTTAGTTGAAGTTAATATTTTTTTTTACTGCTATTCTTATTCATTTTTATGTTTTACTTTTGTACTGACAATGTAAATTTAAACAATCTGGTGTAAATTAAGAGACCATTGCACAATACAACAAACCAACAAATCAATTAAATATAAGAATTGGAATTCGAACCTCGAGGATATGAAAATAATAATGGTAAGAATATTTTTCAATATTTAATGTTATACGCAAAAAAATAGTTTGAATTTTTTTAAATTTAAAACTTAAGATTCGTATGTAGTATAGTGATCAAAACTAAAAGAAAGTTTGAAGAGAAAATTTTGATTATGTCTAAAGGTCGAAAGGATTTCTTTGAATAGTATAACACTTTGGTTTTGATATACACTTATGTATATGTATGTAGTACAAAAACAGTACATTACAAGTTCTGTTCTAAAAAAGCGAGTTTTTTTTACAGAGAAATTTATGATTTATTTGTTATAAATAAAAATTTTAGCTTAAATTCAATACAGCCATATTTGATGGAATACTCTGGATTGTTATACAGATGAATTTGCAAAGTTATATATAAAATTATTGATAGAGAGAACAAGCTTTTGCATAATCTAATTTCTTGAAAATTACAATAGAAAATTTTAGTAATTTTTCTACAATATTAATGTATGTGAACAAGAGCCAATGTTATATTTTTATAATCTTCAAAGTTAAGAAAATTATAAATTCAACAAGAAAAATTCTTTACAAGAAGATTTTGTCATTTATTAATTGTCCAATATTAATAATTTTCGAATGAAACCAATAATCTCAATGTATGTACTATAATCAGGAATTTTCGCCTGAATATATGCAATATTGTACTACATCATCAACATCAACAGTACATACCACACACATTCAGCAATACTGACGGCATTAGAATTTTAATATTTAGTTTATTTATAGATATAGCAAAATGTAATTATTATTAAATATTGCTATTTTTTTAACAATATAAAATTACAAATTTCATTTAAATTAATTTTATATACATTTTGTTGTATATACAGTCAAACACACTTAATATTCAACCCTGTTTAATATCACAATTCCGTTATATTCACAATATTTTTGATAAGAAAAATCTTTATATACCTTTTACACGAATTCGAACTTACTACCTCTTTCTTTTCGACATCTGTTGGCAATTTATGTTTTACTATTAAATGTAAACGCATTTTTTTAAGGGATGTAGCCATTGAAATAGCTGACAATTACGATTTATAGTCGCAATTGTTTTCAGTTTTTCTATGTTTCAGCAACTATGGGCCTTTCCCAGTATGTCAAATGCATGCAACTGACGTTAGTCATGAATCCCAAGGCAACATGAGCGTCATAAATCCCAACATATGTTGCTAACGCAATTGATTGTCATTTTAGTTTTTTTCGCCTGTTTTTAAAGGCTAATGCATAAGTGATTTTTTTGAAAATTGCTCAAATTACAGGTGATTGTCATTTGCTAAATCAAGCGATTGACGTGATTGACATGATCGTCAAATCTTTGACATACTGGGAAAGGGCCTATATATTATGAATTAAACATAATACCCAAATATTTTTAAATTATTTTCGTTTATTTAAAGCTAGTTTAATTTCAAATAAAGTGATTGTTATATCACAGCATTGCGAAATTTCATAACTATACCCCTTAAGATCACCTTAATTCTTAGACATTTTTCTATATGATATTAGGCGTATTCGACTGTAAAACAATTTCTACATACACATACAAATCTTGTATAGGAACTTTTATTATGCTTGTATATGCATAATTACGTGAAAATATACTTAACCATTATACATATGAATTTATTATTCGAAAAAAAAAAAAATTTAATTGCAATATTGTAAAACCACCTTACTTTATTAATAAACTAAATGAGGTTTTCAACCGCAAAATCAAGCAACAAAACACAAAAAAAAAAAAATTATTCAAAAACCGAATAAACAAATTTTTTTTCTCATTTTAAAATTTTTTTACTCATTTACTCTTTTTTTTTTTTCCAAATCGGAGTCAATAACATAAAATTTTGTTACGTTTTGCTACTTGGATTAGGTTTAAAATAACAACCCACCTACATCGGTATTATCGTAAATTTTTTTGATGTTTTTTTTTTTTTTGAATATGAATTTTGATTTAATAGAGAGGTTTTGGGTAACAAGATAATTATAATGTGTTAGTTAATTTTAGAATTATAGAAAAAAAAATTTATGTACATACACACTTAATACATAAAATATACAAAAATATTAATGATCACTTAATTGTTTCAATGAGGGCTACAAAATGTGGTTAATTTTAAAAAAATTTATTTTTTTTTTTTTTTTTTTAGAAATTTTAATAAAGTTGTGTAATTGTTAGTTTGAAAATTATGTGGTTAAATTTATTATTATTTTTTGTTAGTGATATTAAATTTAAATATTCCCACAACAAAAAATAAATAAAAATTATAAATGAAAAAAAAAAGAGAAAAAAATCGAGTGTCACGTAAAACGGTTATTATTGAGTGTTAGGAATTTAATTTTGTTGAGTTTTTTTTTTTCGAGTTGTGTTTTTTTATTGTTTAGATATACAATTAATTAAATAAATATTAGGAAATGTAAATTATATTATTTTTTTGCTTTATTTTGATTTATAATTTTATGTATTTTTATTATTATTTGTTAATATTAAAAAAAATTAATGATGAGTTTAAAAATGCGAGAATTTGGATGAGAGAGAATAAATTTTCATTTTGTTAGTTTTGCAATAGATATGCCGTTAATTTTTAAGACTTTATAAGAAGAGAGATATTTAAGTGTGTTATAATATTCATAATTATAAATCTGTCAAAATTGACACATGATACCTTACTATTGACAGCATTTCACATATTGTTTATAACATTAGTATTTAACATTATAGTATTGACCCTATTCAGTATGTAAAAGAATTTGAATTGAACACAATAAATAAATTATTTTTTAACAATTTATTCAATTCGTCTGAAATTTATAATAGATACTCAAATTTAATTATTGTTATCTATTAGTTGTAATTTCTTTAGTAATGATAACAATAATTTGACAGTTTGCTTTAGAACTCATTTTTGACATACTCAAAATACTCATACAAAACATGCAATTTTTAGTTTATCATAATTACCATTTGATTATAAAATCGTTGCGGGCATATTTACGCAATTAAATTATATTGCGTCAATTTAAACCGGAATACGTTAACTAAAAATTGGAATCAATTTATAAAAAATTACAAAATGTTTGATTGTATAATTGAATGCTATCATACGGTTGCATGTGTTCAAATAAGCAAACAAACAGTAGCAAAACCAAAAAAAAAAGTTACATGTCTGTTTGCGCCGTCAAACATCAAAATGAAAACTATATAAGTAACATATTAGAATTACTGACACGTTGTAATTTTTCTCTAATAAAAAACATACTCGTATATATTATTATACAAGCACACTAATATAATATACAAATAACATTGTATAAGTACAAAATAATTAATTAAATTGTCTAAGTTTTATATTTAGCAATATTTTGTTTAATACTAAAATTAAATTTAAAAAAAAAAAAAATTTGTTAATAAAAAATTTCATAAATTCAAAGACAACTTTAAGTCATTAAAGCTTATGATGTACAAAAAAAAATGACATAAATGTCAATGTCCAAAATATTTTCCTGTTATATTTTTGTTTAATAATTAAAAAAATATGTCAATAAAGGTAGGGAAATTTAATTATCAGTATTTGTCAAAAATCTAATATAATTAATATAGAAAATTGAAAATAAAAGAAAATTTTTTTTAAATATTCCTATGTAGGCAAATTATTGGTGAAAATTTTTAAAAAATGTTTGAAAAGTTTAAGACTAAGGGCGAATTCATAATGAAAAAATATTCATTATTGAAGATTAAAATTTTTATTTAAGAAAAAATGTTCGTTTAATGACAAGTACATTATAAGAGATGCTGTTTTTTAAATATCATGTTAAATTATAACAAGTAAAAACGTTTCAGTCGGTATAAACCGATTGAATTATACCCACTTTTCGTTATTGTGTAGCAATTACTTGAACCTCTGAAATCATTCTATAGAAACTTCTCGGACGTGTCTGACCTATAATTGGACATCCGACTGCCCAGTTTCATGAATCTGACCTTATAATTTTTCCAAATATTTAAAATTAACTTTTGGAGTTGTATGGTAAGTACCTGAACCTGTCAAGCAATTCTACTAAAACTTCACAAATATATCTGATCTATAATCGGACACACAACTGCCAAGTTTCATGAATCTG